GTCATTCTCATAAAAAAAATAAATGAAAAATCATAATTTACATGACAACTGTAAAAGTACCCCCAAAAAAAAAAGAGGGAAAAAAAAAGAGGAGAGGCGATAAATCATCTTCCATTAACAATGACTGCTAGAGATGAACTGGCGGCAATAGTTTAATGGAATCATTCAAGAAAACCGTCCTTCTTATCTCCTCCTAAACAAAATTTTTTAGTACTAATTTTTTGCTTCACCAATAGAACCCTAACTACCTCCACTTAACTCACTGTCACTGGTCACTACTACTTACCATCTGCCATTGTTTCTCACAGTTCCTCGCTCACCAACCAGATAAAGGGGGCAACAAAAAAAATAAAAAAAAAAAAGAAAAAGAAAACTACATGCCCAGTTTGATTATCATCCATTTTTCTGGCTTTAGATCAAAAGGGTAGATGCTGATTAATTGATGGGCTGCAGTTCTTGATTTTTCTAGCTTTTGTGGGATTTACAGAAATGGGCTTTGCGGTAGCTTGGTGAAGAAAAAAGTGGAACAAGGACACTGTAGAGTTTTTGGGTTTTGTGTTCTTATCTTGGATAATGTGAGTAAAGATCTAAACTTTTGTACTTGATTGTGTGGTTTCTTCTTTACTCTTTGATGGGATTTTACCTGATCTTTTGATATTTTTCGTTTTTCTTTGTCTGCTGATTCTTTGCTTGAATCTAGCAGCTTTCTTTATACATTTGTAAAGTTTTGTCGGTGTATAAAATTAGCCGTGTCGCAGGTAAATTTCTCGCAATGGAGAAAAATAAGAGTAGGAGATAAGAAGGAGAAAGTACCCAGAAAATATAGGAAGTGAACTCTCAGTTCTGCAAAGGCACGTGTTGTGTCATCCACTGCTTAGATTATCGGCCGCCTGGTAATTTACTGCTTTATTTCTTCTAAAAGCTTTGATGCACGTGTGTTTGTGTTTGTGTTTGTGTTTGTGTTTGTGTTTGTGTTTGTGTTTGTGTTTGTGTTTGTGTTTGTGTTTGTGTTTGTGTTTGTGTTTGTGTTTGTAGAAAATATTAGCTCATGGGTCTTGAAATAATTGTATCTGATCTGTTTGGAGAGATTTCCTTTTTACTGATCTGATTGATATGCTTTCAGTATGAACTACATGCAGTGATTTTTGTTAATGACTATTAGTCCTTGTCGGGTTCTCGTGTATAGGATTCGATTTTGCAAGGATTTGAAGAGTTGGAAGAGAGTTGGCCGAAATGAGGAACAAAGAGTTGAATGGTTATTTTATGGCCTTGATTTTTGTGGGTGTTGTGCTTTTGGGGAAAGCAGAAATATACATTGTGAGACTTGAAGGAGAGCCTGTGGTGAGCTATAAAGGTGGCGTTAACGGGTTTGAAGCCACTGCAGTTGATTCTGATTCTGATCAAAAGATCGATTTCACCAGGTGCTCATATTATGTTATCTACTCAAGTGATGGTTTTTTGGTTATATAACTTGATTTTCAATAGGCTGTATTTCGACATGTAAATGATCTCCTCATTTCACGTTTATTGACAACTAGTGAAAATACTCATGAGTTTGGCGTAAATGACTGGTGTTTTGGCCACTGTCATCGGAACTTGTCGGTCTTACATGTTCTTTTCCTACTCCATGTATCTGATGTCCTTCAACAGTAACTTTATTTGATTTTAGGTAATACTTGTATCATTTTCACATGCTATATAAACTCGAAGGTAGAAAATAAATGTTAGATATTTTAGGTTTTGTAAGTTGGATTAAACTGAAATTTTGTGTGGTTACATAAGTCATTGGCTCCCATAATTTGTTTACATGACTTTAATGATCTCTACTGTTTCAAGCAGGTCTAAATTTGGATGATTTTGTGTACTCCATTTTTGTGTGTTCTAGTTTGCGATATGATCTTTTGAGTCCATTTGCAGTGTCTTTTAACACTTGACATGGAAAAAGAATTATCACATACTGGGATGTTCATATGTCGTTATGTCAATATGACTTATCTGGTTCAAATCAATGCTACTTTATGATCAGCGTTAGATATTGGGCACATTTGGTTTTAGTTTATGATACTTTCCAAGATTTATATTGACTGAGAGCACACATAAGAGAGCAAATCTTTATCATCCATCACTCCTAAATCTTCAAGCAGACTGACTCTGGAAGATTACATTATATATTTTCTTCTCTTCCTATAAAACAAGCCTGTTGAATCTGCAAAAAGAAAGGATAGAAGTTTTGTTTTTCATCTGTTTATTGGTTTAAATTTTCAGTGACTTGGTCATATCCTATGCCCGCCATCTAGAAAAGAGGCACGATATGCTTCTCGGCATGCTTTTCGACAAAGGAACCTACAAAAAACTCTATAGCTACAAACACCTAATCAACGGGTTTGCAGTTCACACTTCGCCCGATCAGGTGGCGTTATTTTCTGTACTCCTATTGTCTTTGCTTTTATATGTCAATAATCAAAAATCATGATTAAGAAAATTAATAGTAAGATAATTACTGAATAAAATAGTGGACAAATCTTCAATGTGCATATTATCTTATACATTGTGCGTATTAGTAGGCAGAGGTACTCAGGCGAGCCCCCGGCGTGAAGTCGGTGGAGAGGGACTGGAAAGTGAGAAGGCTTACTACACACACTCCACAGTTTTTGGGCCTCCCGACCGGCGTGTGGCCCACCAGAGGTGGAGAGGATCGGGCCGGGGAGGATGTCGTGATAGGCTTTGTGGATTCGGGAATAGATCCTCAGCACCCGAGCTTCGCAGCACGCCAAAGTGTATATGGGCCTCTCTTTAAGTACAAAGGCAAATGCGAGGTGGAGCCAAGGACAAAGAAAGAATTTTGCAACGGGAAGATTATTGGAGCCCAGCATTTTGCTGAGGCTGCTAAAGCTTCTGGTGAATTTAATCAGGATGTCGATTTCGATTCTCCCCTAGACGGGGATGGGCATGGAAGGTTCGATTTCTATGCTTTATGTCTTGTTGTTTTCTTGGATATTCGCATTTTTCTTTCCTTCTTTTTTTTGTCCCTTTTGTAACTCTTCTGCTTGCTAGGGTGAGAGTGAAACTATTAAGAGAAGGGGATCAATCTTGGTTGTGTTGTATTTTATATGTAGGGATAACTACAAAAACTACCCTTGGGGTTTGTGTAATTGCTAAAAAATCCAAGTAACTTCCAAAATATCTAGATATGCCTCTGATTAAGACTGCATGAAATCTCATGGGTAGTATTATTTGTAATTTCGAAAGTCAGGTGTTTTCTCCCTGTAAATAGGCCAAAACGTCAAGGTAACTTTTTGTAGCTAACCATATATACGATCACCGTTTCTTTGGGTAATTTGGCAAAATGTTTTGTTTTAATTATGAAAACTCACTTCCACTATATTTTACCAGTCATACAGCAGCTATTGCGGCTGGTAACAACGGGATACCAGTGAGGATGCAGGGATATGAATTCGGACGAGCAAGTGGAATGGCTCCTCGTGCTAGGTATAGCTCCTGTTTTTAAATGACTTGCAACTTGGAGAAATTGTATTACATATAGTTTGACAATTGGTTGCCTTTTTTGTTCAATTAGTCGATTTGTTTGTCTTTGTGTAGGATTGCTGTATACAAGGCACTCTACAGATTGTTTGGAGGATTTGTTGCAGATGTGGTTGCCGCCATTGATCAGGTATTCTCAAATGTGAAGTTCTGTGTGTGTGCATTTCTGTTTTATTTATGCAAAGCTTATAAAGTTCGAGTTCAGACAGCAGCATTGTTTTTGGTGGGTTCTATAATTCAAAGATTTTGATGGGAATTATGCTTAGGCTCGGAATATACAGGCTCAAAAAGCTGAAAAGACAAACTGAAAAACTGAATTTCCGCTTCTCTTTCTTATTCCTTTTAGTGACCAGCTATTTCATAATATAGAATAAAATCTTTATAATCATCATTTTAGTGATGCTTTTTTTTTTTTTTTCCTTTTTCTGTTTGATTAATAGTACAGAGCAAACTCACATCACATGACTCAATATGTTATAACAGGCAGTTCATGATGGTGTCGATATTCTAAATCTTTCGGTCGGCCCCAACAGTCCCCCGACTAATACGAAGATCACGTACCTAAACTCTTTCGATATAACCCTTCTTTCGGCTGTGAAAGCTGGAGTATTTGTAGCTCAGGCAGCTGGGAATGGAGGCCCTTCACCTAAGACTATGGTGTCTTACAGCCCGTGGATAACAACTGTAGCTGCTGCAGTCGATGACCGGCGATATAAAAAGCACTTGACTTTGGGGAATGGAAAAATTTTAGCTGGACTTGGTTTGTCGCGTAAGTTTCATGTAGGCTTTAATATTGCAATTCGTTTTATTGCAGTTCTCTGTATGTCGGATAGTGATTCGAAATAGGGATAATTATCAGTGTTCTAGAAGTCGCTAGGCGCCCGACCAGCGCTAGCGCCTAGAGCGCCTAGTCGGGGCCTAGGCGGGGTCTAGGCGGGGCCTAGAAATTATAATAAATATATTATTTTTATTTATTTTTACATTTTCACTAATGAAATTATAACTTATAATTAATAAATCCATACACCTAAGTCCCAATAATATTATTAATATTATATTATAAAACAAACTTCAAGTCAAAATAAGTACATAACCACAATATAATTTCTTCTCATTGTAATTTTATCAAACACATTATCTACATGTTATGTTTTAAACATTACACAACATAAGACAATTACAAAAACAACTAAACACTAAATTTCACTAATCATTAACTAAATAAATTAACACATATAATAATACAATAAAACACATGAATAACAAAATAAAAAATAAAAAAAATATATGCAAAAAAAAAATATAAAAGCCGCCTAGAACCCGCCTCAGCCGCCTAGAATCCGCCTCAGCCGCCTAGTCCCGCCGAAACCGCGTAGCCGCCGTGACCGCCGAGGCCGCCTAGCTCTGCTTAGGCCCGACTAGCCCGCCTGGCCGATTTTTATGGCCGATTTTAGCAAATCGTAGGCGGCGCAACACCGCCTAGCGCCTAGGCGCCGCCTAGGCGGCTGCCTAGGCCGACTTTTCGAACAGTGATAATTATAGAAGAAACTGCCCTGAGATTTAGTAAAAAGACCAGTTAACTTGAAGAATGAGAAAAAACTGCTGTTGAGGTTTTGATTCATTCTTATGTTTGAGTATTTCACAATTATATTCTTCTTTTTTCAAATATTGAATAGCCCCAAAATTTGTTTTTGATTGATGTGTAATATTTTTAGATCAGTTAAGGGAGGTAAAGGAATATGTAAGATAAAAGTTGGTGTAATCTGTAATACACATAAAAGTTACGGCATGTAATGGTAAGAATATCTGAATATCTGATGACTTGAGTAATTTCTGATAACACTTCAAATAGTAGGTCCAAATGCAAGATAGATGTAACCTCAAGGTCCTTTCTTGTAATTTTAATAATAATATTTTTGCAGCTTCTACTCCTGTGAACACAACATATCCCTTGGTTGCTGCTACTGATGTCTTATTGGATCCTTCTGGAAATAAGTATGCCTCTGCCGACTGCCAAAACCCTTCGGTTCTCAACAAAAACTTGGTACAGGGGAAAATCCTTCTTTGCGGTTACTCGTTTAATTTTGTCTCGGGAACTGCCTCGATGAAGAAGGTAGCCGAGACAGCACAAAGCCTCGGTGCAGTTGGCTTTGTCCTTGCAGTCGAAAATGCTTCTCCCGGAACAAAATACGATCCCATCCCCACTTCTATTTCTGGGATCCTTCTCTCGGACCCTATTAAATCATCGGTACTTATTGAATATTTTTATTTATTTGCTTTTTTATGATCCTTATAAGTTAATGTTAGTTTCGTGCAACTCATTTTGTGGCCTTGTTCTTGAAATGGCGTTTTTCCTCTTTTTAGATGCTCATAGACTATTACAAGAGCTCCACTGTTAGGGATTGGAGCGGACGGGTAAAGAGCTTTAAAGCAATGGGGAAGATTGAGGATGGTCGAATGCCTCGATTCTATAAGTCTGCACCACAAGTAGCCGTGTTCTCGGCCCGCGGACCCAATATCCAAGATTACAGTTATACTGATGCGGATCTTCTGAAACCTGACATCTTAGCCCCCGGCTCTCTAATTTGGGCTGCTTGGTCTCCCAACGGCACAGACGAAGCAAATTTCGTTGGTAATGTTTTTCGGTCACTCGCCGCTGTCCAATTACTAAATGGGAATGATGATAATAAAAATTGTTCCACGTTTTTATGGTATACTTGATAGGGGAAAAAAAAAAACATCCAGCTTATCTGTGTCAAAGTTTCGAAGACACAGTCAAGTGTTACTGAATTAAGACCCTTCAACACAAACCGAAACTATTTTTTCTGCAATCAATTGAAGGTATAGTTATTTTACTTTGGAGCAGGAGAAAGATTTGCCATGATATCGGGCACGAGCATGGCAGCGCCTCATATAGCCGGAATAGCTGCACTCGTAAAGCAAAAGTACCCTCACTGGAGTGCAGCTGCAATTAAGTCGGCCCTTATGACAACAGCCACAACAATCGATCGAGCTGAGAGACCACTTCAGGCACAACAGTACTCGGGCTCCGAGTCAATAACTTTCGTCCCTGCATCGCCTTTCGATTATGGGAGTGGGCACGTGACTCCCAGAGCAGCTCTTGATCCCGGGCTCATTTTGGATGCTGGTAATAAACTAATTTTCTCCATATTTTTCTAATTCTTTTAGTGATTGTTGGATAAGGAGTTTGATTCAAATTATTATTAATGACAATAAGATTATAAAAAATGGATCTTTTAGAAGTCACAGATTCCTTCTTAAAAATCACAAACACCTGATCTTGATTCATGCAAGTCCTCCAAATTACTTGCTTTTCTCTTTTTTTTTTTTTCTTTCTGTATTCCTTTTATGGGTTTGTAATCAGGCTTAAACAACACGGGTGCATTTTGGCTCCCGTTGCAAAAAGATCACATCTTTACCGCATTTGCAAATATTTGGAGAAAAAAAAGAAGCAATTTTTAGCTTATGCTAGATAACATAATGCCTTTATCATTTGCATTCTTATTTTTTTGCTTTTGTCTTGTTCTTTTTAACTTCTCCTTTGAATCTCAAAATCGTAGGGTACGAAGACTACCTGGGTTTCCTCTGCACCACGCCAGGTGTCAACCGAGACGAGATTCGAAACCACACACTCACACCTTGCAACTATACACTCGGCCACCCCTCAAACTTCAACTCCCCTTCCATCACAGTTGCTCATCTTGTTGGGACCCGCACAGTCAAGCGAATTGTGACCAATGTCTATTCAGAGGAGGAAACTTACGTGATCACAGCCCGAATGGCTCCAGCCATAGCCATCGAGACCAATCCTCCGGCCATGACCCTCAGGCCCGGAAGCTCCCGAGAGTTCACTGTCACACTCACCACACGATCCATCACCGGGGCCTACAGCTTTGGCGAGGTCTTGCTGAAAGGCAGCCGAGGCCACAAGGTAAGACTCCAGGTCGTGGCCATGGGTTATAAGAGATAAGGCTATGAAGTTGATGGGATTTTTTTTTTTAATCTTTTTTTTTTGGTGGGGAATAATACGCGTGCATTTACGTTCGGAAAGAATGCGTAAGGTGGGTTCTGGGGAGGAATGTAAAGTATTTGAAGTGTAGTGTTGAAGAGGGAAGATTTGTGGTTTGGTTTCTTCCAAATCTTAATATATATAAGTTTTTGACTGTAGTTTGTGGTGTTATGTATAGGTGGTATGACTTGTGTTCCCCCCCCATTGCAGTGTATGAGAGTTGTAAGGTGATGGCCTTGGCCATGGGCCAAAGTATTTGTAGGTTTTGACATGGGTTTGTACTGTATTTTTGACTGGATTTATTATGTGATAATAAGTATTTATAGTTAAAGAGTGATGTGAAAATAACTATGTCTTGTGGTGATTGAAAATAAATTATTTTGGTTTTGATATGATTTGTTGGATAAAGTGAGTTAATTTTAAATAAAGTTAATTGTGTGGATGATTGAATAGGATTTTGAGTTTTTTTATTTAAATAATATTTGAAAGGTAATAATTAAAGTTGATCTGAAATAAAAGTAGGAGATAACTGTTGAAAATGTTGAGCAGTTAAAAATATGTTAGTAGATGAATAGTAAATTTTGACGATGTAATGTGTTAGAATGATTTATTGATATTATTTAATTACATCGATAATAAGAGTTTAATTGGACCAGAATTGAGTTGATTTTTGAGTTAAAAATTTGTAAAAAAATTATTCGATCCGTCAAATTAGTTTCCAAGCGCGTCCTTAAATGGTCGGACAATTGTACTTTTGCAATAAAATGTACTATAACTTTGTGATTTTAGAAAAATCAACATAAACAAAATTATTTTATGGTTCGTAAATATACGAGTCGACTTTCTTATTGTTATTGTTGTTGCAATGTCTCAAAAAGAAAAAAACAAAAAGAACAATGAGATTATGAGGTTTGGATATTGATTTACGGACTGGTAGATTTGTTAAGCGAATTTAGCCATATGCACGGCTCGAGCCAACTTAACTTACTTATTTGATAACGAGTCGAGTTCGAACTAATTTAACGACTTTTTTCGTTCCAGGGCTGAAATCGAGCTCAATTTATAAGGCTCGTTAAACTTTAGAAATAAGGTTTTTTTACATAATTTTTTAAACTAAATTACATAATGCTCTTGACTCGTCTAAGACATCTTTAGTCCTTATCTCTACTCTACTCTACCTCATTTATGTCTTTCCTAACATAAATACCAAAAGCAGAACTCCACCATTTTCAGTTACAAATCCATGGTCTCACCAGCCATGGGAGAAGTTCTCTCACACTCAAAAGCTCCTCGGGAGCGCCATTTTTTCCTCCTCATGAAACCCACTTGAAAATGGGCTCTCTCTCTACGCTTTTGAAAAGAGGATTCACGCCAACCCTGAGAGACTTCAACAAATTCTTCCTCTTTCTCTCCCATAAACGAAGGTTCAAAACCATTATCTACGTTTTCTCCCAGCTCGCCGCGAACGAAATCAGCGGCGACAGCCAAACGAACACAATCTTCACAAAAGCTTTGCTGAAAGAGAAGAAATTCGAAGAAGCAGCTGAGTTCTTGAAAAATGTCGAGGGGGACTTCGACGAGCTTAAAAAAAATCGTGTTATTGATTCTCTAATCCAGGGGCTTTGTGCTTTCAGTCAGGATCCTGATAAGGGACTTTCTCTATTGAAGGATTTCTTGAAGATGGATGGCGTTTTACCGTCTTCTCGTACGTTCTGTTCGTTGATTTTTTGTTTCAGCAGAATGGGGAAAATGGATAGGGTTATAGAGTTATTGCAGTTGATTTCTGATGATAAATTCGAGTATCCTTATGATAATTTTGTTTGTAGTTCTGTGATTTCCGGTTTTGTGAGGATTGGGGAGCCTGAGCTTGCTGTCGGGTTTTATGAAAATGCGGTAAAGTCGGGTTCTTTAAGGCCCAATGTAGTTACTTGCACGTCTTTAGTGAGTGCATACTGTAAATTAGGGAAAATAGATAAGGTTTCGGATTTGGTTGCTTGGATAGAGAACAATAAGTTGAGTTTTGATGTTGTGTTTTATAGTAACTGGATTTGCGAGTGTTTTAGAGAAGGATTATTTAGTGAGGGGTATCGAAATTTTAGAGCCATGGTTGAAAGAAAAGTGGAGTTAGATGCTATTAGTTACACCATACTTATAGATGGATTCTCAAAGGATGGAAATGTGGAGAAGGCCGTTGGATTTTTGCACAAAATGAGAAGGGACGGGCTTGAACCGAATTTAATTACTTACACTGCAATTATTTTGGGGTTTTGCAAGAAGGGGAAACTAGCAGAGGCATTTGCAGTTTTAGGTATGCTTGAGAGACTCGGGATTGAAGCTGACGAGCTCGTATATGCCATTCTGATCAATGGAGTTTGTAGAGAGGGTGATTTTGATACCGTATTCAAGCTGTTAAATGAAATGGACACGAAAGGTATAAATATTGGTGTCGTCACGTATAACACTGTCATTAATGGTTTATCCAAAGCTGGGAGAATGTCTGAGGCTTATGATTTCTCAAAAGGCGTAATTGGAAATGCTGTCACGTACACTACATTGCTACATGGCTATATTAAAGAAGAAAATAACTCAGGGATTTTAGAAACAAAAGGCAGACTGGAAGAAGCAGGCGTACGTATGGACATGATCCTTTGTAATATACTCATAAAATCCATGCTTATGGTGGGTTTGTTTGAGGATGCTTTAGGGATTTATAAAGGATTGCCGGAAATGGGCTTGTCGGCAAATTCTGTCACTTACAGTACTCTGATTAATGGGTTTTGTAAAGCGGGCAGGTTTGAGGAGGCTCTTGAAATATTCGACGAGTTCCGGAAAGTGACGTCAAATTCTTCTTCGGATGTGTGTTGCAGTCGTATTATTTCGTGGCTCTGCGAAAACAGCATGGTGGACAAGGCAGTCGATTTTTTTATTGAGTATCTCAAGAAAGATTTGCTGTTGGCCAGGAGAAGGAAAGAATTAGCTTCGGCTAGCGTCTGTTACTATACAATTCTGAGAGCCCTTATGTTTGAAGGCAAAATGTTGTTGGCTCAGCTTATTTTAACCTCATTTGTTAAAATATACGGCATGTCTGATCTTGGAGTCTGTAAGATAATAGCAAATTATCTATGCTTGCATGATGTTAGAAAAGCGCTCGTCTTTTTCTCAACAACGAAAGAGAGGACATGGAGCTTAACAATTCCTGTTGACATATTCGAGAAACTGACGAATGAGAATCGAACCTTAGATGCATATAGGCTTTTAATGGGTGCAGAAAATGATCTTTCAGGTACGAATGTTTTCCACTACACCATTGTTATTAACGCCCTCTGTAAAGAGAGGAAAATCGGTAAGGCATTAGATTTATGCACTCTGGCAAAAAAGGCAGGGACAACTCTCAACATAGTCACCTACAATACTGTCATAAACGGGCTTTGCATGCAAGGCTGTCTGGTTGAAGCTTTTAGATTATTTGATTCACTCGAGAGACTCGATTTACTTCCGACTGAAGTTACCTATGGGACGCTTATCGATGCTTTAGTCAGGGAAGGACTTTTACAAGATGCCAAGATGCTGTTTGAGAGGATGTTCATAAAAAATCTTAGGCCCGGCCCGCGTATTTACAACTCTTTGATCAATGGTTATTGTCGAGCGGATCTACTCGAGGAAGCTTTGAAGCTTTTCCAAGATTTAGAGGTGAAAAATCTTGAAGCAGATGGGTTTACAGTAAGTGCATTGATTAATGGATACTGCAATAAAGGTGACATGGAAGGAGCTCTCAAGTTATTTTTTGAGCTTAAAAGCAGGGGATTGTTGCCCGATTTTTTGGGTTTTTTGTATCTGATTAGGGGCTTGTGTGCAAAAGGAAGAATGGAGGAATCGAGGACCATTTTCAGAGAGATGCTTAGGATCCAATCTATTGTTGATCTCTTAAATTGTGTACAAACTGAAGAAGTTGAATCTGATTCTGTGGAGAAAATAATTAGTTTGCTATGCGAGCGAGGACTTATCAATGAAGCTGTTGACGTGCTGAATGAAGTTGGTTCTGTGATTTTCCCTGTTGGTAGAAGTTTTTCTAAGTGTGATTTGAGTTCTAATGATTTTGACAGTGGAAATGATTTTGGTACAAGTCAGTTGCAGGATTTTGATTCTTTCTATTCTGCTGTTCGGTCGCTTTGTGTGAAAGGGGAGCTGGCGAAAGCAAATAGGTTGACTAAGTTGCTTATGGAATTGTAATAAGTCGTTTGGGGAATTAAGCTATGGAATATTTCGTGTCTCGATTGCAACCAGGTGTTTCGATTTCGTTTCTGGGAGAAAGTATTTTGCCAAGGCAGGTACGTAATTTATTCCTCGCAATTTTTGAATAGTTCCATTTTGTGAACCGTCACGGCTAAAGATTTGAAGTGGAATATTTTAATATGTAGCTAGATCTTAGTTAACTAGTTTACATAGTGATTATCAAATTTGATTAACAGATTCTTGTAATAATTTTCTTTAGTTCCAAACTTCTATCCACTACTTGTATGTGTAGTGTACTCTCTAGTCTCTAGTTAGTAGCGTCTTGATGTTGCATGATAATGGTTACTGATATAATCATGTCTCGTCGACTAAACATTTGATAATTTTTTTTTTTCATTGATCCATTTGATATTCATTGCCCCACTTTCGAGAAAACCATGCAAAAATCTGGTCCTGCACTTTACTCTCGAGGTATGCTTTAACCTGTTTTTCGGGCTACTTACAAAAATAACCTTGAGGTTCGATTCAGTCGAATCACAAAAGTCCCTGTTGACACTTCAAATTTACAAAAGAAAGATCGCAGGCGAGCTTGGAATACCAGAAAGGGGCTGTTTTTCTTCTCTCTGTCTCTCTCTCTTTTTTTTAAAAAAATTATAGCTTTTGTGGTTTGTTCATGTTTTCTTTTTTTT